TGATGCTTATTTAATTCTTTTAGTTCAATATTTTTAGTTTACAAGTAATTTATATCTTGTTTTAGGTTTATGTATGTTCCTTGTCCACATACAAGCATTATCCTTGTAATTGCTTTAATTGATTGTTTGATGGATTAGAATGTTGAAGGCAAATTTTCCACTATTACATTGGATAATTATTCCACAAATGAGTCTATGATTGAGCATGTGAGAGATAAGTTAAAATCTGTAGATTTTTTGAATTTTGGTTCTTTATTGCATATATGGTGTTATGCTCATATCATCAACTTAATAGTAAAAGATAGGTTGAATGTCATTAAGGAAGAGGTTGAGCGAATTAGATAGTGTAGCCTTTTAGACATCAATTCCTAAAAGAGTTGAGAAGTTTGAGGATGCTACTAACTTCCTTCTCATTCATATCACGAAGGAATTGGCTTTAGATTGTCCAACTAGATGGAATTCTACTTATTTGATGCTTGACATTGCTTTGTTATATAAGAATTTTTTTCTAGGTTGAAGCATCATAAACCTTTTCATAAGTTTCACCTACCGAAAGTGATTAAGAATTTACAAAGAAAATATGTGAGAGATTGAAGATCTTTTACGGTATTACCGAATTATTTTCGGGAACTCGATACCCTATTACTAATTTGTTTTTCACTAAAATTTGTTAAATTAAGATTGTATTGACTTAGTGGCTCACTTGTCCTACTTAAATGGTTAGTGAAATGACGGAAAGTATGTTAGTCAAGTTCAATAAGCATTGGAGTGTGATTCGTAAAATATTGGGAGTAAGTTGCAGCTTTAGATCCTAGGTACAAAATGGATTCACTAGAGTTCTATTTTAAGAAAGTTTATGGGAGTGAGGTTATGGTTCAAGTTGAGAATATAAGGAAGCTTTGTTATGGTTTGCTAGCTAAATACCATAAAAGAAAATATGAATGTGGATGAAAGATGTGGTAGTTATGTTGTGGCTAATCCTTCAATAATTCATGAGGATATGAAATCCGAGTTTGACTTGTATGTTTTAAGGACGAAGGCCAAGGTTACCCTTGTCAAGACAGAACTAGATTACTATTTAGATGATGGTGTTATTCTCGAAGCAAAGATTTTGATATTCTAATAATGGTGGAAAGTAAATGGGATGAAGTAACCTACTTTGATGGTAATTGTTAAGGATGTGTTTGCAATTCCCGTGTCAACCATTGCTTCGAATCAGCCTTTAGTGTTGATGGCAAGCTAGTAAGTCCATATCAAAGTAGACTTCATCCAAAGATAGTGGAAGCATTGATGTGTGCTCAAAATTGGTTGTAGGAAGCTGAAAATAAAAGTAATATACTAATTACTAAAAATCTACATATGAATTTGATTTTTTTTATTAATTTCTTAAAAATTTTACATATGTTATTTATGTTTATTATATTTACTTCTAGGTGGAACTCCATTTGTTTCAAATGGTTATTGTACTATGTATGAGGAGCATTCGGAAGAAGATGAAGGTATAAAATAATATGTCAAAATTTAAATGATAGCGTGAAAAAATTTATGATGACTAATTCACTTTTAATTTTAATGAATGTAGGATCTACGATAATCGACGATTACATCAAAGTGCAATATGATAAGTTAGCTTTGATGATCTTTGAGTAATACAAACATGCAATGATTTGTTTTTTTAATTGTATTTGTAAATTGACGATTGTGATATTTTATCGCTTTAATTAAGTATGTTATTTATTCGATTAAAAATAATTTAATATATTATGAATTGTATTATAAACTTGTAGTTGAATATGATGCTATTGATTGTCTTTTTTAATATGTATAAGGAGCATCTAGAAGAAGATGAAGGTATGAAATAATATGTTAAAGTTTAAATGATATAGCATGAAAAAATTTTGTGATGACTAATTCACTTTTAATTTTAATGAATGTAGGATATGTAGTAATCGACGATTACATCGAAGTGCAATATGATAAGTTAGCTTTGATGATCTCCGAGTAGTAAAGACATACAAGGATTTTTTTTTAATTGTATTTGTAATATTGACGGTTGTGATATTTTATCACTTTAATTAAGTATGTTATTTATTCGATTAAAAATAATTTAATATATTAGAAATTGTATTATAAACTTATAGTTGAATATGATGCTAAATGATTGTCTTTTTTAACTTCGTATTTTTTATAAAAGCTATAATTTTTTTTTATAGTTTTAAATTTGATATTAGAATGAGTGGGACGAGGTGGGGTAGATAGAGAATTAAACGGGGCATAATGGGAAGGAACGGGCGAAAACAAAAGTTAAACGGGGTCTCAATGCCCTGCAGGGATCCATGTTCCTGTTTGGGGTGGGGATGGTATGCGAAATATCACTTCGAATGGGGCACGAGGTGGGGATGGGGCGAAAGTTTCTAAAGGCCATCCTTACCTCCGCCCCGTCCCATCCCATTGTCATCCCTAATTAGATCCTATCACTATTGGTGACGAGATTAACACCAAATGAAAGATATTGCTCCTACAAGCTTAATCATAAATAATAGTAGAAATTAAATTCATTTTTTGTTATTCTATATAAAATTTCATAAATCTAAGTTAAGTATTAAGTAGGATTTCATGTGAAATTTCTTAATTCTTTTTCAATAGTATTTGTTCCAAACTAGCTCCAATTTAAATAGAAAATTGATTCTCTTTATTCATTTTTTCATGTGTGTTTTTATAGATTCCATATTTATATAAGGAGTTGGATAAATTCTATGTAATTATACAAATAGAATATCAATTCGATTAGTGTTGGATCATTCATATAATTGGATGAATAATCTAAAATTTTATGTTTGATTTCAGTTTTAAAATGATTTTTTATTTTGAAATGTTGTTTGTGAGGTAAAATAATTATTTTGGTGGTCTTTTGAAATAATATGATGACTAGAATGACAAAGTACTCATAGTGAATAGCGAAAGATAAGGATGACAATAAGTCGGTTATAAAACGGGTGTCCGTTTTATCCAATCTAATAAATACTCATTAAAAATAGTCAATGAGTGTTGAAGGAGGTAAGTGTAAAAAACAATACATATTTACTAATATGATTTAAGGATATGGATACTTATTATTATTTTTTTATCATATTAATACCTACTAATTTATTTTGATTATATTTTAAAAATTAAGAATCAAAATATTTTTTAAAAAACTTTGACCAAAAAAACTTATAAAGAATGACAAAAAATGCAAAATAAATAAATAAATAAATAAATAAATAATTTTAAGGACCAAAAAACTTTTCTTGACGATTGTAGAAACTAAAATGAATATTTTTGATAAATTATTTTTAACGGACATTAAATGAATATTAAACAAATAGATAAACTAACATGGATCGGATATGAGTTGGATAAAGATTTATATGATAATTTCTTAATAGATAATGGATAAAATATTTTTTTATAAGTATGATAAAAATTAAATTAATAGAGTGGGTATCATTCCATTCCCACTCCTAGTGACAAAGGAGGTTCTAATCCAAATACCCAATAATTCATGTAATATAATAATAATAATAAAATCTCCAGTGGGCTTAAATCAAACAGTGATGGCTTAGGAGTTCATAACGTTTTAGTTGAAAAAACTAAAAACTAAAAACAATATCAAAATATTTAATAAAAAAATACCAACAAAATGTAATAAAAGATGTGTAAATCCAAACATCTTATAATTCGACTATAATAATCATAAAGTTTACGAGGTGTCAATCGAAAGATGTTTTTTTTACTCATTTTCCTGTTATGACAATTATAACACACGCATATGTATGTGTTTCACTAAATATTTGAAAATATAATTCATAGAAAAAACAAACAAATATTTGTTAACATAGTAATAACAGCAACAACAATAATAAAGAAGAAGAAGGAAGAATGAGAATAAAACAATATCAAAATATTTATAGATTTGTTCTATGAAAAAGAAATCAACTATACGGCTAACTTTTTCCACAGATATATTGCAATATGGTTTCTATTCTCCTAGTTAATGACTAAAATGTTGAGGATGGATCATGGAGTAACGTAGCCCCAAAGTTTGTTGTCCTAGGCCACATGTTACATAGACATCTTCCATCCATGCATCAAATTTTTTGATGTCTCAATTCTATTTTGATGATGGGGAGAATTGGTTGGTACTTGTTACTACTTTAGGTAATATAAAATTGAAATATATAAATATAAAAGATAAGTAAAAGAAGGTATATATATATATATATATATATATATATATATATATATATATATATATATATAATACCAATTTATTTTTATATGATATCTAAAGTTTTTTATCTGTATCCATATTTTCAATCACATTTCATTTGTTTTTAATTTTTTTAAATATTCAGTCTGTTATTTCTACTAATTTTTCTAACTATGCACAAATTTTTTTATCGAAATATCCTTTATTAAATAAAAAAATATTTAATATCACATTATCTATATACTTTTTTTATTATTATTTTTGATATTTCAATTAGGAGAATTTTGATTAAAATTTTTTTATAATCGAATTTTTTTTTCAAAAATAAATGAAATAGAGTTAAAAATATAGAAACAAATGAAAGAATTTAAATATTATATAAAAATAGATTAATATATTTACTAAAAAATATAAGCAACTGGTGCGAACAAATAGAAGTTTTCAAAAAAAAAAAAAGAGAAAAAAGATGGGACCTACCATTACGGGGAGACACGTGTAAAATCCGATGCTTCTCTGATTATTCCGTTGCTTTACCCACTACCGCGTAAAAGAGAGCTGAAGGAGACGAGTTAAGGTGTTAAGGAAGAATTAGGAGGACTAAAAACCCCTTAGAGCAGAAACAATCTGTCTGCCTTGAGAAAGATATATATCAAAGCAAAAACAAAGACTCTCATCTACCAGATCCGATCAATTTAAGCTCCGGACGTTCCGATCCCTATTTACTCATCAGTTTTCATTCGTCAACGACATGAGTTTCCTCTTCGGCAAGAAAAAAACTCCCGCAGGTTCTTCCTTTGTCTTCATTTAACTATTATTATAATACTAAGTGCTTGATCATGGATGAATTTGAAATTTTTGGTCTTAAATTATTTGTTTTTGGTTTTGAAATTCAGAACTTCTGCGAGAAAATAAGAGAATGTTGGACAAATCTATTAGAGAGATTGAGAGAGAGAGACAAGGTCTACAGACACAAGAAAAGAAACTAATCGCCGAGATAAAGAAGAGTGCTAAGCAAGGGCAGATGGTGGGTTATTGCTTTCTCTACTTAGTTCATTGCTTTATTAATTTTTGTTTCACATGTTGGTGACGCTGTATTTTGATTAAGTTGTAAAAGTTTTTGCACAATATTCTCATTTTTCTTTTGTCTTGGTCAATTTGTATGTGTCTCTGTTAATGCAATTTTTATATGTTGAAAAGAAGAAGAAGCCTGATGTGTGTGTGTGCGTGTATATATATATATATATATATATATATATATATATATATATATTGACATTGCTATAATATTGTTGCAGGGAGCGGTAAAAGTAATGGCAAAGGACCTTATTAGGACAAGGCATCAGGTTGAGAAATTCTATAAGCTCAAGTCACAGCTTCAGGGTGTATCTCTTAGAATTCAGGTACCTTATGCTTTTGCTTGTTTATGCTTCTCATCCTTCTTGTCCAATGCATTGCCTTATGCTGATGACTTTTTCTCTTCTTTTTTTTTTTTTTTTTTGGGAAAATATCTATATAATATATATTTATTGATATTATTTAGTATTTTATCTTGCTTACTCTGTGATTGTAACGAAATCACATGTATTTACTTAAATGTTTTCTGTTTTTTTTTTTTTTTTGGAAATTTTGAAAAGTTACTGACTGATTTATACAAGAGCTTCAAAAGCTCAGCAGTTTTCTTTCTTTGTTTCTTTTTTCTTTTTTTAAATTTCTCTGCACCTTGTTCTTTTTCACCTTTACCAAAACTTGAAAACAATTGTTGTTGGTATGTAATTTCAACACAAAACCGAAAGACCAACATCGTTGGCCCTCTTTACTTAGCTTGTGAAAAACTATAATTCTTGTTTTACAGCGTAAAATCTGTTGTTGACAATGAATAATACACAATGAGTTCTTGTTTGGCTGGCATGCCAGAAATCTTGGAATTCTTTGGCACAATTATTTTCATATAGAACATGGAGAGTGACATGATAAAGAACTGCCTAGAACCCACTAGGCTATGCCCTTGGAAATCCACAAAGGGTGCTTTTGAATCCACAATAAACTGTTCTCTTGAATTACACGAGCAAAAAAATTTCACAACTCAATATTTCATACATCAAACTGGCTTCCTGAATTCATAGAATGCAACTGCTTATATAGATAAGCACACTAAAACCTTGAAGAGGCTAATCAGAATAGGAGATACGTTTTAACAAAATAAATTGCCAAAGAATCCTAGTTATTAAATAACATCAAATTGTGAAAGACTTTTCTTTCTAGGGCAGGAATTCATATTGATAAATTACTAATAAATCAGAAATATTTTTTCTTTTCACACTGCAATGCATTTCAGTTAATTCTGACTGGTTTGGAAATGCCAAAATATTTTATCTAGGGTACATGTAAATGTTGATCCTTATTGAAGTTCAAAATTGAGGGGCTCTTTTTCTTTCCTTCATGTGGGTCTTGAGATTTTCAGTGTTGTTGTACAAATTTGTTGATCCCTTTTGTTTTGTAAAAAAAGCAAGTACATTAAACTTTTCATCATACACCTTAATGATATTTTGATATGGATGTTTTAAATAAATTTCAGACTCTGAAATCGACACAAGCAATGGGAGAGGCAATGAAAGGTGTAACAAAGGCAATGGGCCAGATGAATAGGCAGATGAACTTGCCATCACTGCAGAAAATTATGCAAGAATTTGAGAGGCAGAATGAAAAGATGGAAATGGTGACTGAGGTGATGGGAGATGCCATTGACGATGCTTTGGAAGGGGACGAGGAAGAGGAAGAAACTGAAGAACTAGTGAACCAAGTCCTTGATGAGATTGGAATTGACGTCAATCAGGAGGTAATACTGTCATTGCAACTTTTTACTTTTCCATGCACATTGTCTTAAGTGTTTGATGTTTGAATTTAATCATCCTTTGAATGACAATTATTGTTACTTGTATTTTCAGCTGGTAAATGCACCATCATCTGCTGTTGCAGCACCAGCTGCAAAGGGTAAGGTTGCACAAGTGGAAACAACAGGGAATGAAGACAGCGGAATAGATAGTGACTTGCAGGCAAGGTTAGACAATTTGAGGAAAATGTGATCTAGATCCTATGAGTCTTGTAAAATAATGATGCTAACCTTATTGTTAAAAAGTGAGGGTTCATTGGGGCCATGTAATGTAATATCTGTGAACATTGTGCCAGGAGTTACTTACCTTTGGTTTAATGGCAGTTGGAGATTTTAATAAAAGAATTTTTACGAATTCATACATGAGGACCTCAGTGTATGAGATAAATTTATGTAGGCTTTTCTTCATGTGCACATGTTGTCAAATGCATGTGTTTCAAGAGATTGTGTATGAAGACTTGTGTCATGGAAGTGCAAGGATATCAAAGCAGAGTAAGCCAAGTGATCCATTCTGATGTTGTGTTAATGTTTCAGAGTCATGGAATTGATGGGCTGTTTGACAATGAAATATTTGTGGTTTGTTTTAATGTTAAGAGTTACTTAGACTTAGGACGATGAATCTAAAGAATAAGTCTGGCGTTAACTCATTCATGGTAGTAAGAAGGCTTATCAAATGCAATTTGATAAGACCTTGCAGTTGGGGCGAGTTGATTCTTCTGATTTCAAAACTGAGCAAGTTATCGAGTTTTGGTCTTGGAGTTGATTTGGAGCTTGTCTTGTCTTAAATCTGAGGTTTGATCAGCAGACCTTGTTTTGGTCTTTGATTGATCATTGTGTAAAAGCTCGAGTTCAGCCGCCTTGATTCTTAAATATGCAATCTGTCATGCACTTGCTTTGCGTTGGAATGAGTCTTGGAAAGAAACTTACAAATAAGATGTGGTTAATTGGCAACCAAAAAAATGAACCGTTGGTTGAGATTTTTTTTTTTTTTTTTAAAAAAAAGTGGGCTTCGTTTAGACTTTTGAATTCTTGCTGTACTGCACTGGGCCTGGGTAAAACTACAAGAGAATTATTGCTAAGTTGCTTTAAATGAATACGGAGCATCTTTCTGGACCATTTTCCTTCGTGTTTAAGGTAGAAATTTACAGTGCTAACTGTTGACCAACCTCATACCAAACAAAGAATAAAAATAGATACAAGGTGGACCAATAGACCCTTGCTAATCAACAAACAACTGGAAAAAGACAGGAACCTAACTAAAACTCAAAACCCTCAAACAGCACTACTGATGGCTGAATTATCCAGTAACCCTTCCCTAGAGTTCTCCGGTGTATCAGCTGCTGCGACGGCCAGTCGTCTATTACACACCGGAAGAGGAGGATCAACACGTGAACGACAAAGCGGGCAATCAGAGTGAGAAAATAGCCACATATCTATACAAGGAGCATGGAATGAGTGCTTACAACTTGGCAATTGCCTTACCTCTTCTCCCTCTTCAAAAACAGATAAGCAAACAGCACATTCATAGTCAGTTCCTTGATCTTGGGCACCGCCTATGTTTCCCTTTTTGTACTTGAAACTAGACAGCAAGTTCCTGCTGGAGAGTTCAAAACTTTGGCTTGCTGTTACTTCTATGAACTCATTTGGCCTCTGCCCTGACCGGCCTCTACGTTGAGTACACCACTTGATGATTATAAGATTATAAACAGCTAGCACTATAGCAGCTGTGCCAACAACTAAAAGGCCATAATACAACATTGACAGGTTGGATTTTTGTGGAGGAGGAGAAGGTGGCGGCGGCGCGGCGGCGGCGGCGGCGGCGGTGGTGAATCAAATAAAGGGCTTGTAATAGTATCTACCATATTATGAAGAATGGAGTTTTGTGAAATTTTTAGATGAGCAATATAAGAAAATAGTGATGTCCTAAAATGAATCCTCAAGAAAGAGATTTCCAATTTTCTATCCTTATATATATTATCAGTATAATATTATGTAATTAATCTAAAAGGCGTGGTTGTTATGCAATCATAGAAGAGAAAAATGGTTATAAGAATCTATGGGCTAAAGGATGAATGAAGACAAAGGAACGTACAATCGGTAGACAGTGAAGGAGAGCGATTGAATTTTTAGATAATAGAGTTTAATCCTTTTGCCATCTGTTCTTTACATTTGGACAACAACATAAAATCATTCCTAATCCTATTATAAGCCTAAGCCTAACTAAGGCGATCTTAAGTAGCATTTGCATATGATAGTACTCCAGAGTTCACACTCCGTACGTCCCCTAGGAAGACAACATTTTCTTTAACTGGTGAAAGAGATAAAAATCAGTTTGTTTATTCTTCCCACACCCCACCCCCCCCCCCCCCCCCCATCCTTATGTATTCCAGCAAGTATCCAATGTATCGTTCTATTATTATTATTAGTAGCAGTAGTATTTGTGTTTATTTTATTCTTGTATAATACATAATTCTTCAATACGGTTTTTTGTCAAATTTTTCTCTCTTCCAAAATTTTATTCTCCATTTCAAAAAATTCTTGAGTTATATAGTTATTTGTTAAAAATTTTAACGGTCAATTGATTTTGAAACCTTTTTTTATTTTTTATTTTTTAAGCAATTTTGTACTATATCTTTATATAACTCAAACACACATTAGAAATTAAAATTAATATAATTTTGAGGAAAATCACAAAAAAAAAGAAGAGAATTTGATACTATACAAGAATTTAATAAAAACAATTAAAAATATAAACACATATTAAAAACTTATATTAGAGGCTTAACCAATTACATAAAAACAAGTTAAGATATTACACAAGTAGGCTTAACGTAATAGTTGTATACCTAGCTAGCTTTTTTAGTGAATTAAATTTTGAGTCATGATGACTCCAGTTTCTTTAATAATTATATAATGGGGAAGGCTACCCTTGTTGTGTAATTTGATAGGTTTATTGGACCTCCGATGAATTAAAAAAAAAAAAAACAAGTGAAGCTATTCATAGATTTTTTTTTCTTTTTATATAAAAAAACAACACTTTTATTTACACGTGTGTGCATTGCAACACATAAAGAGTAGATTGCCTGCATCTTGGATGAAGTCGTGTATTGCAATTTTGTGTTTTGAAAGCTTTGCATTATATGTACATTTTTTTTTTGGGTGTGTTTCCTAGGGTGAGCATTATTCGGTTAAAATTGAAAAATTGAATCAAACCGAATTAGCAATTTTGGTTCGATTTTGTATAAAAAATTTGAAAAAAAAAACTAAAAATGAAAACCAAAATTACTTCAATTCGGGTTTTTTTTTTTAAATTCGGTTTCCACCGAAAACTAAATTATTATTATTATTTTTTTTTTACATACACCCAAAGCTCTTAGCATAACTAGTCTGCTAGGATTTGAATTAATGATCTCTTGCAAGAAACCATTACTATTATAAGTTTTAGCACCCAATTTTTTTCAAAAAGAAAAAAACAAAGGGAAGAGAGATAAATAAAAAAATAAAAAAGAGGGAGTAAAAAATACAATTAGGGATGCAATTAAAAAGGAGAGAAGAAAAAAAATCAAAATAAAGTGGGTTTGTGAAATGAGAGACCAAACCAAATTTTGGCAAAAAAAAAACCTAAAGGACCGAGTATAAAAACACTTTTTTCTCTTAAAATTGGCAATTATTGTTCACCATCTTCAAAAATTACCCTAGCCACTAGCTTCCATACACCAACCCCTCCCCACTCCAAAAATACCTTCCAGTCAGTATCCGCCATACCTCGGCACTCCTCGGCCAACGCCCACAAGCCGCTTCATTAGCCTACGCCCCAGCACGCGGCGGCCTGCTCACCCGACACCGACGTGTAGCCTACCTTGCCTAGCCTTTGTGGGCAATGCCTCCACCGACCCACGCCCCGGCGGCGTGCGGCCCGCCTCGCCTAGCCCCATGCGCGACACCTCCAGCTAGCCCGTGCCCCGAGCATGCGGCGGTTTGCCTCACCTAGCCCCGACACGCAACCCACCTTGCCCGACCTTAGCGCGCGGCGCCTACCTTGTCCGGACCCAATGCAAAGCCCTTGCCTCGCTAGCCCCCCGGCGTGCATGCTTGTGCCCGATAAGCCTCCCCTCGCATGCTCATAAGCGTTTTTGCATGCACCCACAACTTGCATGCTAGGCCTTACCCGCGTACGTCCTTCATCCTCACACACTTGCACGTGCGTTAGCCATAGCCCATTTGAACACAACCTCGCTCGCATCATGCCCACGCCTCGGATCGCACACAACAAACCCTTCGATTCGATAGTAGTTGCTCTTATTTGTCTTTCCTCCCGGTTGATTGAATATTTGTCTCCCTCGAGGTTAAAAAAGTCGAATAGATCCCAATTCAATAGATTAATCTACCTCTTATTTATAGTAATTTATTTTTAAATTTTACTTTATTTTAAATTTTTAACATGTATTAAATTTGATTTGCATGTACGTAAATTAATTGAAAGATTGTGTGGCATAATTAATTCAATTTGTTGCTCATATATGATTTATATGAATTATGGTGATGTACATTTAAAGTAAGTCATTGTTGAGTTTGTGATGGGTGAATGATGTGTTGGTTGGGACGTATTTGGATGTTCATCGTTGTTCAATATATTTTTAAAATGCGTTGGCTTAAATCTTGGGTTCGAATCGTTTTTGGTCAATTATGATGGTTAATTAAATTGTGTTGATCTATTATTAAAAAATATGATTTTTACGTCGTATTGGCTCAAATTGTGTTTCCAAGATCGTTTTATTGATAATGATGTTAAATTAATTGCATGAAAGTTTATCAAAACAAAAACACAACATTAAATCAAGCAAAATTGGAATTTTGTCGTATGAACCGGTTTTTTTGTCAAACACAATCAATCATGCTTGTTGTGGTAATTAATTTTGCTAATTTTTATCTTTTGTCAATTTTTAATCCGATTGTTAATTTTCATCGATTTTTAGCTTAATTGTTGATTTTGCTTAATTATTGATTTTTATCGATTTTTTTCGAATTGCGATGATTGCCTATGTTTGCATAAATTGTCGATTTAGCCTACGTATGTGCACGTTGTTGAATTTTGCCTATGTTTGCCTAAATTGTTGATTTTTGCTTACGTTTGCCTAAATTGCTGATTTTTGTCAAGTTATTGCCTAAATTGTCAATTTTTGCCTTATTTTGGCCCAATTGTCGATTTTTGCATATTTTTGTCTAAGTTATCGATTTTAGCCTATTTTAGCTTGTTTTAGCCTATTTACGTCTAGCTTGCTAATTTTTGCCTTATTTTTTTCCAAATTGTCGATTTCTATTAGTTTATGCAAACATTTTCAATTATTTTCTTGTTTATCCATTTTGCCAAGCCTACCTATTTTTACCTATCCGTCAATTTTGCCCACTTATCAATTTTATCTATTTACGCCTATCTCGCCTATTTTTATTTTTATTTTATTTTATCGACTCGTCCATTTTGTTGGTTCGCTCTATTCGTTTGGTTCGAGTTTCGTTGTCACCTACACTAATTATTCTTGCATTCATCACCTTTTTTAGCCATCCGTTATAGAGTGAGGATAAAGCCGATTAAGTCCCAAATTACTTGACTAGGGGGCAAATATTTGAAAATAGGCATAATCTTTCACCATTAAAAAATCATAAATCAAATCAATGTTGTATGCAATGCAATTTGCCTTAAGTAAGATTGGTGGGGTGATTTTTAATCTCCCTACACGTAATAAACCTCTTATCTAGAACTCTAAACGGACCGAGTTATAGGGTTTCCTAGTAACCATAATACTAGGTAGTGACTCAAATTATTTTTTTGCTAATTTTCCCCTATTTTTGCCTCAACACGTCGCCCTCGCTACCAACATCATCCTATGATAGAATGGCGACTCCTCTAGGGACATACTTAGGGTTAGGCTTTGCATGTAATTTTTTATTTTTGATTTTTGATGATATGATGAATTGTTTTCGCCTATATGCCGATTTGTCTAATTTACTCGTCTTTTAAATTCATTTCTTTACGTCCTTGTTTGCTCGGTGTTTTTATTCCTTTCTATTATTATTATTTCATTTCATTTTTTGTCTTTATCTTTGTTTTTATTTTCTGTTTGTTTTTATTAAGACTTGGATATGGAATAATACCCATGCACACTCTACACTACATAATTTCAAATGTTATTTGCATTCACCTTAGGATCTACGGAGAAATTACCATCTTCGCACTTGGTTCGCCTCGATTCTCTCCAACAAAAAAGATCCTGTAGAGACTTAGATAGATTCTACTCAATCATGTAATGGCTAGAACCGGACTCTAGGACTACCTTTCCTACATAAATTCAATGGGCAAGTCGGACATATCAAAACCTTGACCAAAGCATCTAGTCATGAATGTTTTAGGATGGGTGACAAGAGAACTTAAGTCCAAACTCACTTGGTGGCCAATTCAACAAAAATTTTAAGGTTTTGCAACAAATGAAGGGAGATTGCCTAGGATTGGAATTTCGGAGCAACCATAGCGGAGATCACACACTTCTAGTTAGTGATCAATGACACTTAAAAGCTACTTGATAATTGGAGGATGCTAAGCCACGATGACCGAGTATAGGTTCAGAGCTAAATATGGGAATCTCGTAGTGTTATTAGAGGTACTAGTTTAGAAGCACTGCTCTCGAGGCTTTGGCACTGCATGTTGGACCTCTTCATACACATGTTTCACTATAAAGGGGACTAGATGTGACCCCAACCTT